CACTACGTGCGCATGGAGGGCGCTGAGGCCCGAGGGCCGCCGCGCATCAAGGACATCATGCTGGCCGATGCCCAGGTGGGCGTGGCTCGGGGCGGGGCCTGGGTTTGGGGCGGGGCCTGGGCCCCTGCGCTCCTGCCCCCTCTCTGCTTCTCTCTTTCTTTCTCTCTGGCTACTCCGCTCACCTCCTCCTCTCTCCCCTGCCGCCTCCTCCCGCGCTCAGTGGGAGATGGACGACACAGCTGAATATGTAAGTAGTGCCACTGCCAGTGCTTTTCCCTCGGGCCGTGCAGTGCTGTGACACCCCCGCCCCTGCACGCCCCTTGTAAAAGGGTCTCCTCCCCTGGGCCCCCGATGCGCACGCACTTACCTCTTGGACCTCGAAGCCTCAGTTTTGCATCAGGTAAATGGGCACCTGCTGGGTCCCCAGAGGTATCCATTAGCCCTCTTACCTGAATGGCCGCTTGGACTCCATTGGCCTCATGCCTCCGCACTTCCCTTCCCCAGCCTTGCTGCGGTCTTCTCCCCAACATCCTTGCCCAAGCTGTCCCACAGCCCGGAAGGCCTTTCCTACAGCCTCCTCTGTTGGACCCAGGCCTGGCAGATCAGAACAGTCACTTTCCGGCCTTTTGGTCACCCAGCACAGCCCTCCCTGACCTCTAAATTTCTCTCTCAGGCCAAAAAGTATCCTTTCATTTGGGCCTGGCATGATGAGAGGGGTCAGTGGGCCCCAGGTGGCAAAGGAGGCGTGCAGGACCACTGTTTCCACCCCTCCAAGCTTTCTTGGGAGGCCCTGAAGCAGAGTCAGGATTGCTGTGTGACTTCGGGCAAGTTGCTGCTTCTCTCTGGGCTGTCTTTCTGCCCCTAAAATGGAGGCCACAGGCTCTTCTGAGAGCCCTAAGTCTGATGTGGCCCCACCCACTCCTGTAGTTCTGCCTCTTCCGCACCCCGAGTCTGGGGGGAAGGTTCCCACGGGGCTCCGGCTCAGTCCCTCCCACCCACCAAGACCCTGGGAAGACTGAATGGGAGGCTCAGGGGCAGGAGACCCTCTGTTCATGCATCCTGTCCCCCCACCTTGTGCTCCTGACCTGGGGCCACCTCGCAGTTCCCAGGCATGCTGGGTGTGTGGGTGTGCGGGTGTGCATGCGTGGGGACATGGGCACACGTGTGACTGTGTGAGGATCGGGAGCTTTGTCACTCGCTGAACAAGCAGTAATTTACTGAGCACCTGCTATACGTAGAGCCTGTGTTAGGTGCTGCGGGCGCGATGGTGACCGAGACAGGCCTGTGCCTGCCTTCCTAGGGGTCACGGTCCAGGGGACAGGGATGCTTTAATTGGAAAAAAGCACACATTCAGGCCTAGTTCCAGCTCTGGTGGAGATGGGGCAGAGGCAGTGGTGTAAATGAACCGTCAGCTGTCCGGTGGGGAGCACAGTCCTGACTGGTAGCATCTGCCGTTTTCCAGGGTGTAGCTACTCCCACCGTGTCGATTTCAAGCCACCCACCAGATTTGTGGTAGCTCGTCATTGCAGAGTGTTTCTGTCACACAGATACAAGAGACAGAATAATCTGGAGACATAACTAACAGTAAAGGTGGCAAAATAACTAGGAAGGGTTGGGTTGGAACACTTGTTACCTTTGTTTTTACTATTATTTGATCATTTGTATAGTTTAATTTTTAGTAACAGTTGTATTTAGTAACTGGCTCACAGATTTTCTAAAAATTTAACTGTGGGCTTCTGAGAGTTGTTGTAAGGAATCTCTAGCACACCAGTGGGTATAGTGGAGGCTGGAGGGACAGCCAGTGCAAAGGCCCTGAGGCAGGACTGTGGCTGGTGTTTAGGAGGAATAGAGAGGAGGCCTATGTGGCTGGAGCAGAGTGAGCGAGGGAGAAGGGGAGGGCAGGCGGGTGGGGCAAGTTGTGTAGGGCCTTGGGGGTGGAGTGGAGGGCTACGAGCAAGAGAGTTCGGACCTGACTCAGGTGCTCACAGGCGCCCTCTGGTGGTCACTTTAGGGAGGCCAGATGGGAGCGAGTGTGGGAAAGGAAGGGACTGTGCTTGTCCAGGGGGAGCCGTGACAGGTGTCAGGCCACGTGTGCCCATCTCAGCCTCAACGTGTTACATGTTGGGATCTGTGCATGAGCTCAGGTGCACATCTCTGCCCGTGGACTGGGCCCTGCGTCCCCCTTGCTTGTCCCTAGCATGGGGAGGAGGGTGGGCAGCCCTGGTTGCATCACTGACCCCTCCACCCCTGCCTGCAGGAGATGGTCATCACAAACCTGCAGCCTGAGACTGCCTATTCCATCACGGTAGCCGCCTACACCATGAAAGGCGATGGCGCTCGCAGCAAACCCAAGGTGGTAGTGACCAAAGGAGCAGGTAGGTGACCCTCCTATGCCCTTGGCCCCCAGAGTGTCCCTGCAGAGTTCCAGAGCCCACGTGGGGAGAGGGTGCATCAGGCAGGAGAAACAGGGAGAGCAGCGGTGTAGGGGCTACTCGAGAGGGTGTTCAGACCCAGCATGGTCCAGCCCCACTCAGCTCCAGCCAGACGGAAACCTTTAACAGCCGACTCTGCCTCCTGTTCCCTCTGCCCGGATACTCTTCTCCGGGCTGGCTGTCTCCTCAGCATCCTCTGGGTCTTTGTTTAGTCTGCACCTCCTCGGGGAGCCTTCCCCACCCACCCCCATCCCACAGTCTGGGCCAGGTGTCCTCTCTGCGTCCCTTCTGCCTGACAGCACCCCTTGCTTCCCCCATCCCAGCTCTGATCACCCCAAGTGGGTTGTCATTTCAGGATGGTGTGCCGCCTCCCCGCTGCACCAGGAGCTGCCTCTGCTGGCAGCCTTGCCTCAGTTTCCCCTTCTGGCCCCTCCGGGTCCCTCCCATCAGTCACAAGAGGCTGTTTTTCCCCCAGCCATACTTAGCTGAGTGAGGAGAGAGAGAGAGTCAGCCATGGAAATGTAAAGAGGTCTTCCAGGCAGAGGGCACAGCCCAGAGACTCAAGGGGGAGGCACAAGCTTGGTGTGTTCAAGGAGCAAAGAAGGACCCTTGTGGCCTCTGTCCACTTCCTGCACCCTTCGTGCTGCACCTCTGACAATATAGCCTGATGTTCAGGGCCTCCCAGCTGGACACAGCACTCCTCCACACTGCTGCCAGCCCCTGCCTGTACTGTTCCCTTCGCCTGCCTAGTCTGTCCTCCAGCCTCCAGCACCCACGTCACCTCCTCCAGGACTCCTGCTTCCCAGGATTGCTCCCTCCTTTCTCAGGCACATTGCATAAGAAGTCATGCTTGCTAAGCAGAACCTGCTGTGTACACTAATGATTTCATAGCCTATTCCATTAAAGGTCCTGATAAGGCTTGCAGTGGAGAAACATGGTTTCACGTGTAGCCAGAATTCTCAGGACCTTGACACATTGATTACTACCTAAACGGTTGAGAACCATGGGGTAGAGGCAGGGTTTTGGACACTCTCACAGTCCATGGATACTAATCATGTACCAGCAGGAGGCAAAGGGCGAATAAATAACTCAAGGAGGAAGTACATAGATGAGGGCCTGCCATGATGTCTGTGGATGTTTTCCTTTATTGGGTCCTCTGAGTCCCCTGCTTCCTCTCCATTCCTTGCACTCACCCAGCACGATTCCACCTCAGGGCCTTTGCACTGGCTGGTCCCTCTTCCTGAATCACTGTTCCTTCCAGACCTCCCTGCAACTCCCTCCCTTTCCTCCTTCAAGTCTTTGCTTCTGAGTGAGGCCTTCCCAAGACTACTTTTGAAAATTGTAACCCCACTGTGTGCTCCCAGGCTGGGGTTTGGTCCTGTGGCCCTAACACTTGTCCCGTGTCTCCTGCAGTGCTGGGCCGCCCCACCCTGTCGGTGCAGCAGACCCCCGAGGGCAGCCTGCTGGCACGCTGGGAGCCCCCAGCCGGCACCTCCGAGGACCAGGTGCTGGGCTACCGCCTGCAGTTCGGCCGCGAGGACTCGTCACCGCTGGCCACACTAGAGTTCCCGCCCACCGAGGACCACTACACAGCATCAGGCGTACACAAGGGGGCCACGTATGTGTTCCGGCTGGCGGCCCGGAGCCGAGGCGGCCTGGGCGAGGAGGCGGCTGAGGTCCTGAGCATCCCAGAGGACACCCCCCGCGGCCACCCGCAGATCCTCGAGGCGGCCGGCAACGCCTCAGCCGGCACCGTCCTACTCCGCTGGCTGCCGCCCGTGCCTG